GGAAAGAGAGGAACCGGTTTGTGTATACTTGGCCGGTCCTTAATCCGCCCTACGGCGCGAGACTCGTTGCAATCGCCCTCTGTCATATACATGTTTTCTATCCTTCTCTCTCTCTCTCTCTCATTTTTTCGTATCTATCATCTTCGTGAATTTGACAGTGAAATAGAAGGAATACTAGAAAGAAAGAAAGAAAGAAAGAAAGAAAGAAAGAATGAAAGAAAGAAGGATATTCACTTAAGCAGAGGAACAATGCGTGATCGAGCTTATTTTTATACCGCAACGGCAATATGAAGTAGTACCGTAAATAATGAGAGCGAATCAGTAGAATTACGTTATGTTGTAGTGTTGGGCAAAGGGGGGTGGTAGAGTAGTTTGACCACTACTCTGATTCCTGTTTCTTAGTTTGGTTCCGTTCAATATTTGTATGGAAAATAATACCACTGGGATCATTCAAGTGATAATCAAGTGAGGAATTTATTGTGGATCATTTTTATCGAAGTGCATCCAACAATGCTAAGCGCAATAAGTTTCTCCACATTATGTTGCATACATTTAAATAATATTCAGGGAGTAATTTAGTAATTTTATAAAGTGGAATATACATTATATCCCCCTCCATCCCTCTCTACACTGTGGTTGTATCACCGATCCGACAGTTCAGCTTTATTATAACAAACTGATTTTGCCTGAAATACTCTGAATGTTATTTTGAATGCGAGTTATATTTTCAAACAGATTAAACATTTTAACAGAATGTAGTAGACATTATATTATACCCAGCAATTTATTTTAATTCACTATATGCGTATAATACCTCAGACCATAACTCCATATAAAATTACTCTGTTATATTATCTTAAATTTATAAATGAATTTTTGGATATTTCAAATACACCATATATCTTGTCACTTTCTTATTATATATTATTATGTATATTGTGAGATACAGTAATAATTAACCAGCACTTTAGTTTCTTAATGTAGTCCTGATGAATTAAAAATAATATTACACTTGCTAATTTATTGCCGACATACCAATAATACATAACGCATAAACTCTTATATTAATTCGACAATTAGCAAACAAATTAATGACATTGTTATAGTATTTATTATTTATTAAATTTGAGACAAAATATAAAATTATTTAAATTAAAATATAACGTATTTGCTTTTATGAACTACAATAAGATTTATTTCCAATTTCAATCATGAAACTTAATAGAGAAGAAATTAGGAATATAGTGTATCAGATAATAATTAGAAACTGAACGTACTAAATCAACTTGACAGCGATAAAAGATGTGTTTAATTCTTAATTAACTCTTAATTAAAAACTATATTTATTTAAATTGTTCCTTTTTATAAAATATATTTATAGTATAACATATATTAATAACGAAATAGTTTGGTTTAAAATTGTTAGGTATTATTATTGCATCTAATTAAACTTCTAAATAAATTACTCTATTTTTATTTATAAATTATTATGATGGTAAATAATATTTGGTAAATAAATAATCCAAACGCTAAATTGTGATTCATTAGATAATATTGTAAAGACAAGTAGATGAGCGTATGAATGAAGTTGGAGAATATGGACAAAATTTAAATCGCGATAATATTTGCAAATCGATAATAGCGGCCTTGGAATAACAATGCTAAGAAAGTGTGAAAGATACCGTCAGACGTAAATCATTTAGGTCTTCGTTAGTTGAGTGAATCTCGATTTGCGCGTAGCTGTAAATTCAGCAATAATATTGCAGAGATGAGACGAATTTATTAGAGAATGGAGTAAATTGAAACCACTTTCGTGCAATTGAGGCACAGATTCATCAATTCTTTACTTGGATCATAAGAGCCAATACTGACATAGTTTCAATACACGAAATGTTAATAATGAGTGATAAATAATAATTAATAAATAATGCTGAAATGGTACGGAGATTTGCTACTTATTGGAAGATTTTCGACTTCACGGGTGAGATGCCTTATATATAATTTAAGTATTTGATAATTTGATTTGATTTGAATTTTACGTAAAAAATAGTAATGTATTGTTAAGCAATCTATCGTTTAGCAGCTCTAATTTATTATAAAAACTGAAAAATTAATTTTCATCCACCTTCATGGCTTATGCATAAAAAATCTTACGAAGCTGTCGAATTTGTACGTATAATGTGATTAATAATTCACAATAGCTACTATTAATCAGCGCTGATTCATAGTTGTGCATTTATCTCTCGTCATGTAATAGTCTTTTCGCAGTTAATTTCTCAATGAACAGTTCTAGACAGTGGGATTGTCTGATTAGACATAACTTTTTCTTAAAATTTTAATTTTTATCTTTATATTTTCTTATTTTTCTGACGAATTTCTCACAACTATCAAACTTTCGTTTTTTTTTCTTTTTATGGTACACTGTCTAAATTAGCATTTAAAGCTAAATACAAATTATGTTTACTAATAGGGATGTTTTCATTTATACATATTCAAAGAGAATTATTTATCTTATTAATGTCTACATATTTTTTAAAAGTTATTTACACATTAATCATATTAATAATAATAAATGAAGAATCAATTATTTTAAAGAAAACTTAATATAGTGTCTGTTGTTTCGCAAAAAATGTATATTTATTGTATACATTCTTTGTATACTAAAGCGTATATTTATAAATAAAAATCAGTTAATCTAAAAGCATATTTATGCCAAATTCATTTCATTAAATAATTTTACTTTATCAGTAACTATTATTAAGATTAATGTTTTTATCGAAAGACATGTGTCATATATGTTTAATAAAATATTTATCAGCTTTCTAATAAATAAACTGTAATCTGATAGCCATTTATAGAGAAAGTATATACACAAATGTGTAAAAAGAAACTAATAATAATATTAACAAATGAGTAATTGAGTAAAGTAACACTGATTATCATCTTTATGGATAAGAAGATATATAAAATTAACTACTTGAGTTTTAAATTCATAATACAAACTAAACCACACCCGACTATTTCTAGTTCAACCTAATTTCTTCAATTATTTTTGTTAATATTTATTATTATTTGCAGTAGTTATATACTATAAAGGAACTAAGAAATTGTGTATTCTTTGATATGTTTTTAGTTCGTAGTTTTAATGTAGTCATAGTAATATTTATTGTTTTTTGCAGTAGTTATATATTATGATGAAACTAGTATTTGTATATCCTTTCAAAATATCTAATGTGCAACTTTATTGAAGCAAGTAGCACTGGCTAGGTACTTAATCGTAGTATTCGTATATTTGCAAAACCAAATAAATACACTAGATAATTTTCAAAGTAATTGATGGTCTTGTTTCTATGGGTACTTTGAGGCAATATATTTTATGAACTTTACTTAAAGATGAGTTACCGTATCTATATTAATAATTCTATGTACCTATCGATTATTGATAATAATATCGTACAAAAA